CCCAGTACCAGTTGAGTCTCTATAGAAGTGCTTGAGGACTTAAAATGTACTGACAAAGATAAGGTAAGGCAGACAAAACATGAAATTCATATGTAGCAGTCCTTGAATACTACCATTTCATTCAACATCATTTTATTATAACATTGATAAGATACTGTAGGAACTGAACTCTTGTTTCTGTCCATAAGCCTATGTTATTTCACTTAATGTCACAGAACCTACTGATGACATTGAGGACTTCCAGTACATACCTTTCATTACTAAAATAAACCCAATAGAACATAAGTAAATGACCTTTTGTTTTTCTTCGTTGCATTTGGCAATAATGGGTTCTATGCTATTACTTCCCTAAACCATTTCTTGCATGGTATGCACTGCTGTGAGATCATCCTTCCCTCCAGTTAGCATATAGAATCAATCCATACCAAGGGCACTGTTCCTCACTCTCTCTTGCTTGCTCTCTCTCGATGCTATTTAACTTGACGTTGTAGGCTCCCGTCTCTCAGATTCTGGTGCTCAGGAAACACTATCATCCCAGACAGAAGCAGTTATTAAAGGATAGAGACAGTTATGCGACAAGTCTTTAGGTGTCCTGTACTGAGATGACTGGCTTAGTGGGACTTTATGGCCTCCCATCACCAGTTTGCCATCTTAAGCCATCCCAGCTCTGCCCATAATTCTTCATTGTTAAATCACTAATGACCAGATCCTCTTCACATGCATAGAGTTCTAAGGCCTACATGTCCTTTTTATTTCATCTCTCCCAGGGTAATGCAGCACAATGACAAGAGAATAATAACCTTTTAAGTCCAAGAGACCTGGGTTTGAATCCTGACCCATCACTTGATGACCATGTGCCTTTGGGCCAAATGTCTGAATTCAGAATCCTTATCTGCAACAGGGAGATAACACTGTCTTTCTAAGTAGGCTTTCGTGAGGATTACATAAAATGACACAGAGATTATTAGCACAGCACTTGGTATCCATTAAGCACTAGTATATGGTTACTTTTATTTATAACATTTTATTACCAAATTGTATAAAGATGTTCTTTCTGCCATTTATGCCATTTTTCACCCTTAACTGAATTTCTTTTTATTATGTTTGCTAATTAGCAATAATTCATATAGTCCTCAACTATATTTTAAAGTTATGTATGCATAAATGATCTACATATTATATATTTATATGTATTCATACATTTAGGGAAAAATATTTTTTATTCAGGTCAACTGAATTCACTTTGCCCAGATAGTTTTTATTCTTTAGTGGTCTGATGATTCAAAATTTGAAAAACATGAGAAAAATTGCTCTTTAATTTTAAAGAATTTGAATGTTTCCTAGGGGAAGAAATTGATGATTATATAAGAATTTGGTATAGTATTCAATAAAAAGGATTGTGTATAAAATTTGTAATCATGGCTCAGAATGATCCTAAGCTTGGCATAATTATGTGCAAATTTTAGAAAATTATAGGTAGGGGATTGGGGAGTACTAAATTCTGGTAAAGAAAATCCCTACAACTCAAGTGGGGTAGGGCCCACCCTTTAGAATTAGAATTTGTAAATGAAGCGCTACCTCTTTGATTTTGTTTCTTTGTTTTGTTTGGAGACTCTTTCTTTTGAGGCTGATGACAAAGCTCTGGGCTTTATCTCCAAATACAGCCCATGGCCTTTCCCTTAGGCTCTGATCTGAGGAAGACCAGCCAAGGGAACATATGCAAATTTATTTATGCTTTCTGGTTTTCCATTCTTCTTTCATCTTTTTAAAAATTATTTTTTGTTTAATTCTTCAATTACAGTTGACATACAATATTAATTTAGTTTCAAATATATAACATAATGATTAGACACTTATGTAATTTACTAAGTCATTACCCTAATAAGTCTAGTACCTATCTGGCACCATACATAGTTATTGTGATATTATTGATTGTATTCCCAATGCTTTACATCCCTGGCACTATTTAACTGCCAGTTTATACTACATAATATCTTCACCTTTTTTGGCCCATTCTTTAAACTCCCCTTCCATCTGGCAACTATCAATTTGTTCTCTATGAGTTTGTTTCTCTTTTGTTCATTTTGTTTTTTGGATTCCACATATAAGTGAAATATCGTATTTGTCTTTCTCTGACTTATTTCACTTAGCCTAATACCCACTAGGTCCAGCCTTGTTGTCCCAAATGGTAAGACTCAATTCTTTTTTATGGCTGGGTAATATTCCATTGTACTTCTTCTTTATCCATCCCTCTACTGTCGGACAGTTAGGTAGCTTCCATATCTTGGCTATTGTAAACAATGCTGCAATGAATATGTGGTGCATATATCTTTTCAAATTGGTGCATTGCATTTCTTCAGATAAATAACCAGAAGTGGAATTGGTGGGTCAGTATAGTAATTCTATTTTTAATTTTTGGGGAACTTCTATACTGTTTTTCATAGTGGCCACACCAGTTTGCAGTCCCACCAACCGTGCACAGGAGTCCCCTTTCATCCACATCCTTGCCAGCACTTTTTGTTCATTGATTTATTGATGATAGCCATTCTGACAGGTGTAAAGTGATATCTCACTGTGGTTTTAATTTGCATTTCTCTGATGATTTGTGATGTTGAGCATCTTTTTATATGTCTAGTGGTCATCTGTGCATCCTCTGTTTCACAACCTTTTCAAGTTGTGAATTTTAGTCTTGGAGACTCTCTATAAGCAGAATATACTTTAAACAAAATAATAAAAACAACACATGCACACTAAATAAAGAAGTATTCAGGTCCTCTGCCTATATTTTAGTGAAATGGTTTGGGCTTTTTTTGGTGTTAAATTGTGTTTTTAAAATATATACATTTTGGATATTAACCCCTTACCAGATGTATCTAGTCCCATTTAGTAGGCTTTTAAAAAAATATTTTCCTTCATTGCACAAAAACTTTTTAGTTTGATATAGTCCAATTTGGTTATTTTTTTTATTTGCTTGATAAGACATATCCAAAAAATATTTCTAAAAGTGATGTCAAAGCATTTACTGCCTATGTTTTCTTCTAGGAGTTTTATGCTTTTGGGTTTACTTTTCTGTATTTAATCCATTTTGAGTTTACTTTTGTATATGGTGTAAGAAAGTAGTCATTTCATATTTTTGCATATATCTGTCCAGTTTTCCCAACACTAGTAAAGAGACTGTCTTTATACAATGGGTCCTCCTTTGTCATAGATTAATTGACCACATAGGCACAGGTTTATTTCCAGGCTGTTATTTAGGGGTTTTTTTTCCCCCTTCTTTTTCCCTTCTCTCCTTCTCTTTGAAAAACAACTATACTTATGGTAGGTTTATCTAACTAACTTGGATGATTTCCATAAATGTTTACATGATCGTTAGAATAGAAAAAAAATAATTTTGTAGCCTTATAAAACGGTAAATATGTCATCTATTTCATCCCAGTACTTGATAGTTTATTTTATCATACACAAACAGGAAAAAAAATCATCAATTAATCGATCTTATCTTTCCCCCCTAAAAATTTCTCAACTTTTCATTGAAAAATTAACATTTTTACAGTTATATCACCTTGGAAATAACTGACTTCTCGCTAATTTATTCAAAACTTAACAAGTTTCAAAGATAAACAGAACACTTTATTATAAAAATTATAAAATAATTAAATATTATACATATATTTTGACTTTTCTCTATAACCCATGGTTTTATTCAACACTTTCCCTCAGAATTCATATCACTCAGAGAAGTGAGAACACGTAACAATAGGCTATTAATAAATTAATTTTTCCATAAAATAAAATGATAATTATATAAACAAATAACTTGTAATTTTTCAGAGGGTGGTGGTGAAGAAATCTTTTTTTGTGATGATAAAATAACCACTACTCCAGGCCAAGAGAGTTGAGACAATATTCTAATTATTTCTCTGAGGTTCAAGAATGCATGATTTCAGAGAGAATGGGAACAAAGGCTGCTCTAAATTTAATAAACCACTGTCTAGTTGGTTGTGCTGAGCTGGCAAATCCTTGTTTGAATTGAGACTTTTTAAAGCAGTAAAACTGGGTTACATTCATCAAAAAATTGAGGAATAGAGTAGAATTATATAAATACGTCCTTTATAACCACATCTCAAAAAATTACAGGAGGACTCAGTCTTGTAAGTTACTTTGGTTTTGGCAAATTAGTGTGGTGTTTTTGCAATTGAGAACAATTTTAAGCTCATTAGTGCCAACCAACAGCTGGCTTTTGAAGACTGAAAATATCATCTGAAAGACTGTAAAATACTTATTCATTGAATGGTTTTGCCATATTATGATTTATTAATATTAATGTAGCAAGAAGACAGATGGATTTTTCTATTGCCACTAGGACTTTCTTCTTGTTAACTAAATCCTAGGGCAAATTTAAACATGTCAGTTGGTAGGGGAAAAAACCACAAGTGGCCTTTAATTTTCCAAGCAGCTATGATAATAAGTAGGGAGCATTACAAATAATGGTCTCCGCTCCTTCAGCACACTGCTATTTAACTCCTCCTAAATTTTTACCAGAAATAAACATTTCACCAATTCTGATTCCCAAAGAGCAGACTAGAGGATCTAGAGGATCCTGTCTAGCACCAAAAGTTACAAGGTTGATATAATGTCTGGGGAATCCATATTTACCTTTCGTATGAGCTTTTTTAATCCCCATAGTGTGAATTTCAATTAAATGGAAATCTTAAATAGTCCACATTGCTGTGTTTTTAGAATATTCCTTGGAACACTTTTCAAGTTGTAAATTTTAGTCTTGGAGACTCTCTATAAGCAGAATATACTTTAAACAAAATAATAAAAACACACGCACACTAAATAAACATAACATGAAGCTTGCTAGTCCAGCAGCAAGCACTATCGTGAGCACCATTTGGCTTCTTGTACAAGTTCTGGTTTGGGGTGTCCACAGTTTCGGTCCAACTGTGCGCTCCAAGTAAACGTTCCATCCATGTGTGACTCCTCCAACTCTCAGGCTACAACCTGAAGTCTTAAAGGACCATTTCAAAACCGATGTCTTTGTCATGGAACCCTTTCAAATTCAAAGGATGTGCCCCCAGATCGGTCAGATTCTCACTTTGAAAAAATTAAAAGCTGACCTAGCTCAGTGTGATTCATCACTTCTTCCATGTAACAGTGCAAATCCATGTTGTTTTTTATTTTTGTTTTTTCGTGAGTCAGATTTGTCGTCGCTTCGTGCTTTCAAGTGCTTCAGAGTACCATGTGCTTGGAGGAACTGAAAAAGAAGCCCACCTGTTCTTCGGAGAGGCCCCTCAGCACTGCAGACCGCGGTGAGCCGCTGCAGCCTCCCGCTCTCCACCTGAAAGGTGAGCCCCCGGCCCTGGGTGCCGCGGAGGGCGTCAGCTCTTCTTCGTGCATGCCTTACAGCACTGCTTGCCGTAAAACTTGTGGTTGCAGACACCGTGTTGAGGAACGAGATGACACCAGCTGAAGAAATCCACACAGGCCGGATCCTCTAAAATGAGAAAACAGATTTAGCATGTTAGGAAGAGGCTCAGTCTCGTCTCTTAAGGTGAAGTCCTGCAGATCAAAGGCCTGGTATCTACCTGCCTATGCTTCTGAGTGGTTTTTCTTCTTCTCCGTTAGGACTTCGGTAGGAAGGTGGGGGAAGCAGCATTAAGACATTAAATAGGGCTATGGCCCTTAGCAAAATACAAACAGGTAGGGGGAAAGTGAATGTTAAGGAAAAAAAGTCATGTCTAACTAGAGATCATCCGATCTTCCCGAAATAGCCTGGGAGGTACCATTTTTGCACCCAAGGGGAAGTACCTAGACCAGCACGTTCATCATCACCTGAGGATCCTGTGAAAGCACTGGTTCCGATTCAGAAGGCCCATGGTGAGTGCTGGGATTCTGCGTTTCTAGCAAGCATGCAGGGGATGCTGCTGCTGGTCCGTGCAAACTACTCTGGGGAACAAGGAGCCCAGCGTATTGGGAGTTGGGACAGCTGTATGAGACCCAGCCACAACACTCTAGTTTTAAATAAATCTCATAGCCAATTTGCAACTAAATGAATTTAAGTCAACACCAGTCCTTTCTAACTTCTTTAAGTAGGACAACAGATGTGATAATCAATTGGAAGCAGGATGTTGTACATCAGGGATTCTGACCCAGAAGGGCCTCATGACACAGAGTGCACATCAAATTGTAAGTAAGATGTTCTTTATGGAAACACAATACATGGTTGAGGAGCTAGGGCCCAGCTGTTTTACTGGATTCTCGAGGATTTTTTATTTATTCAATTATTTGGTATTTTGGATCCATCTTCTATGTGAATATTCTAATTCAAAGCTGGGACGGTTTCCCCCACCTCTCTATGCAAGCCTTTAGTTGTCTTAACTTCCAACTTACCCGAAAGCACACACTGCCTATGGGCATCGAGCTACTTCAGGGCCTTCTGAGTTCCTCCTTCAGTGGCTCTCCATGGCGCCTTTGGTCAGGGCACGCTCAGCTCTGCTCCTGCTCCCCATTATAGCCTACTTTTTGATGATTCAGAGCTGCCTAAAGTTCTTTCTTCAAGCCTTGGTTCTTCTGCCTAAAATTCCCTTTTACACACACATCCCACCTCATAGTGACTCCGGTGAGCCTTAAGCCAGTTCATGTAATCCCTCTGCCCCAAACTGCCCCTTAGCTCCCAGCCACTCAGAGTAAAGGGTAGTTCTCACACTGGCTGACAAGGTTCCTGCAATCTTGGTATGCGTGGTCGCGTCTGGAGCCATCTGATGAACGGGAGGGAACCTGCAATCCCTGATAGTGAAGAGAGGAGGAGATGGTCTAGGAAAACATGGCCACTTGCTCAAAATGTGTATATTTCCCATGAGCTTTCTGCTGAGAAAGGCTGCAGGTCTGTAGAATTCCAGCACTGCCTAGAGGTCACCTGGCTTAGAGCAAATGCTTAGTGCTAGCTTTCTGGTCTTGTGCTCGCCTCGGATAAGATAGGGGGAGAGCAGAGGAGGGGAAAGCGAGGCCTGGAGCTGGGGCTAAGGCTACATAAGAAGGAGGTAAACAACAGTGTAGAGAGAGATGGGAATTGAGTAATAGTCCTGAACCTGTTTCGCCACAAATTGGACAGCACAGGGCAAAAGATCGGATAGTCTTGGAAAAGCGGTGATTAAATAAAAAGAAAACTCAGCAGATACATTATTCTTCAGCCCAGAGAAATCTGATTAGCCTGAAAAAATATTTCGTGGTGTTTGTCAGGTTACTTCAAAATAAGCTGCACTAGTAAGAAATGGTGTAGTCCAGTCAGATAACTGAATTTCCCCTTAGCACTCACTACACTGCATTTAAACTAAGACAACATTTAAGCTGTAGTCCTAGAACAATATATATTCACTGGAATTGACTGGAATTAATCTATCTTCTCAATAAAAATGCGAGCTCCGTGAGGGCCATTCCTGCTCACGCTTGCATCCTCACTGATGAGTACAGCCTCTGGCACACAGTGTGTACTTTTTCATGTGTTTGTTCAGGTAAAATTTAGTTTGGAAAAATGAACTCACAAGATTACCATTTATTTCCCCCTTTTGAAGTAAGAATTAATGACTAAAAAGCCTTATCACAGAAGTAAATGTTCCCTGCATATCACTCTGAATAGGAACTGCCCAGATTTGGGCCTCGTACACGGCCAAGGAGCACGGTTCCCATAGATTTTTGATGTGAAGGGCACCTCCTAGAGGTGTGGAATGTACAAGCTGCACAACAAAATGGGAGGGTGTTTGAAACATGCTCTGAACACTAGCAAAATTGATGGAGTGCAGGGTCCTTTTTACCTTTCTTTTCAGGAGCTGGGCAAAAGTTCGTGTTACAGGCTCGTATCCCTGGAGGCTTCTGTCGGAGCAGACAGGTTGAGGAAGGCTGGCCCTGCCGCACACAGTGGACAGACCGGGTCTGGACCCCTCCGCCACAGGTCGCCGTGCACTGCAGAAGAGGGGGAAGGGGGAGGAGTCAGAAACACTCAGCCGGATGGCACCCCTTTAGTGTCAGTGCTATCGAAGACTATCCATGCTTTATGATGTTACCAAGATGCCTGTTGATAAAATGAAATGTCCGGAGCCAGGTACATGTGCTTGCGGTCTACAGTCTCTTCTAACATGTGGGAACCATTTGGCCTGATTAGAAGGATCTTAGGCTAATGCTGTCTCACCCAAGAGTGTCTCTCTCCCTGTTAAGTGACTCATAGAGAAGAGAGCTTCCAGAAATACAGAAGCTGCCCTAAGAATGCGAAAACAAATACAGACACATCTAGGCAATTAATCACAGTATGTAAAGAATTCCAAATAATCTCTGCAGATGCAATGGTGGAGGGAATAGTTCAAAGCAAGGACAGCAAAAGAAATGCTACTCAGAGGGCTCTGGACTCATGCCCTCGGTACCCAGCCGAATTCTTAGTTAGCGTGGCGGGTATGGTGTTCCCCAGAGGTTGCTGCTATTACTGTCCAGTTAGTTTTTCTAAAAAATAAATGACTAACAACGAATGTTAACATTCTTACATTCTCATGTGCGTCTGAACACAGTAACAAAGAATTCATAACAAAAGAATAAGAAAATATTGTCGGAGAAAAAAAGAATTTAAAGCCCTTTAAATTCTTTTGTTTTGCTTTTGAAAATTCACTCTAGTATCATTTTAATTTTACTGCAGACAAGTAAAGACTTCATCTTAGACAATCATCACTAAGTAGATTGGTATTTGGGATAAAAAAAAATATGTCTGGGTGGAAAGAGGTTTGAGTTTATAATTAGTCACAAAGTCACAAATTCAAATATAGCTGTATGCTTGTTATCAAATCACCTAAACCAGGAGTTGGCAAACGTTTCCCATAAAAATGAAGATAGTAAATATTTTAGGTTCTATGGGCCATTTGTTGCATCTACTCAAATCTGCCTTTGTAGCACAAACAGGGAGGGGCCAGGGCGCAGATCTGGCATGCTGGTAATGCTTTCCTGAGCTACATAATATTATAAAAATCGATTTCCCAATCTGTTAAATGAGTAAAATGATGATGAAAATTTTAAAAAGCAATCCACAGCAATAGGTAATACATGTAGTACATAGGTAACCACATAGATATAGTGCCTAGCCAATTTAGAGATATAAAATCATGCTGATTTCCTTTTTCCACATTTTACTCCCCAGATCATCCCAAATGTACACAGCTGGCTCCAGAATAATATGGGTTAGGGGTGTCAACGCCCCATGCAGTTGAAAATCCATGTATGATTTTGACTCCCCACAAAATTTAATTACTAATAGCCAACTGTTGACCAGAAGCTTTACTGATAGCATAGTCCATTAACACACCCTTTGTGTTATATGTATAATATACTGTATTCTTATGATAAAGTCAGCTAGAGAAAAAGTGTTATGAAGAAAATTATAAGGAAGAGAAAATGCACTTACAGTAATTATTGAAAAAATCCACATGTCAGTGGACCTGCACAATTCAAACTCATGTTGTTCAAGGGCCAACTGTATACACATACATGTATACTTACAATACATATGTGTATATATATGCATGCAAATATGTGTATATAAGCACAAATACATGCACACATAGGCATACCAGTACTTGCCCCCCCATGTTTGACGGGGAGCTGGGGCAGCATCTCAAGCTACTGAGTTCTCTGAACAGCTGTGCACCACCTGTTGGTTGGAGGCTGCAAGGACCGAAACACAGCTTTGGATTCCTGAGGACATGCCGTTCTCAGACAGCATCCCATACTCCTACCAATAAGGAGCAAACCAATGTGACCAAAATTTCATCTAAGTCTTCTGAGAAAAAGTGTGGCACTAACATATGAGATGAAAAAGCTGGGAGGTCATTGGCTGAATTGCCTAACTCTGAGCTTTACTTGCCTCATCCACAAAATAAGGACAAGAATACCCACTAATAAGACCATTATAAGGATGAAGGGAGAGAATAGCAAATGCATGTATTTAGCAGAGTGTAGAGCAATGGCTTGACAAATGTTAGCTAGCTGTTTTTATAATACTATTCGGAAACAAAAGAACCAAATGAGTCACGACTGTGACTTCTAGAATGTAGATGACTCCAGCAGTGAAATTAATATCAGTAGCAAATGCAAACATGAGCACCATGTGACAAGCTGGGTACTAAATGCTTTATATTATCTTATTTACTCATGGACAAAAAAACTTGTAAGATATTATCCTCTCAATTTTTCAGATATGAAAACTGAGGCTCACAGACTCTGTAACCTTCCAGGCCACACAGGTGGTGGGCGGGCCAAACAACGTAAGCCCTTTGCTATTTACCTGTGGACAGGTCTCCAAAAGCAGCCGTTGGTGGACTTCCTTCTTTTGAATCTCACTTAAATGCAAACCTGGTAAATCTGGGTGTGCTCACCTGTTGCCATGGGGATGAATACCATCCAGCTTCCACACTGTACCCCGAATGAGCTGGACAGGCTCCTCGGTTGCAGGTTTCTTCCAAGTCCAGGTTTGGCTTCTTAAGGTTGCGGCACCTTCGCTCTGGGAAACTTATCAGCTTTCCCTGGAAGGTCTTCTCGCTGCACTTCATTTCCCTCTTCCTCACACCCAAACCACAGGTCGTGGAACACTAGGAGCCAAAAAAGGAGGCGTAAGCGTGCAGAGCTCCATGGTCAGGTCTGCTGAGGAGGCGTGTTCCAACCTGAGGACGTTCCATCCGCATGGAATTAGAGGGATCAGGTGAGGGCAGGTCGACCACACACAAGGACCTACAAATACAGCACCAAGTCCCTCATGCTACAGGTGAGAAAACCAGTGTCACATAAGTCATCAGCACCATAAAACAAAATGAGACACTGTCTGTCCCTACGGATGTGAGGGAGGCGAAGTCCAGACAAAGACGAGATGGCGGAGGATGGGATCAGGGTCTCTGTGTGGCGTTTATGTGGATGCCCAGGTCTACCTGAGCCCTAAGAAGCTGGGCGTCTGTGCCAAGGAGGCCGGGCACGCAGATGGGCGTTAGAGGCTCCAGAGTGGGAAGAACAGCCGTATTTGTTGTCCCACCTCTCTTGGCTGAGATATAACCTGATGTTGCGTTATGGCAGGAAAAGGGAGGGGGGGAGAGGGAGAGAGAGGGTGGATGGAGACTGAGGAAGTCAGTATGAGAAAACTGGTTTTTGTGCTGTTTTAAACATTATGGGATAAAGTGTAGGGCCCTGATAGAGTGAGCGAGTGAGGACCATAAACATCAAAGGGCGACCGAGCCCCCCCCCTTGCAGCAGCTCCGTGGGGAGGTGTGGGTGTTGGCTCCACTGTGCCACGAGGAAAGTGCGGCTTTGCCGGGGTGAGTCACAAGCCCCAGGGCACACCCACGGTGAACCCCAAAAGCTGCATTCGAATGGGTAGGTCTGGTTCAAGCCCTGGCATTCAGCCATTAGGGCTTAATGTCTCTTAAAGAAAAGGAGTGAGGAAAAGAGAGACGCCGCACCTGCTGCTCCAGACTTACCATTAGTCGAAGTACAAGGGCATCGATGGAAAAGGGCCAGAGCTGTTGCCATCCAAGCCCTTCCCCCGCTGAACCTCACCACCCCTCTGTCGACCTTTTCTCACTGTCCGCGTGTCTTCCTCACCAGACCGTGAGCTCCTTAAGAGCAGAGACCCTGTCTCCCCGGTTACCGGAGTCCCTCCGGGCTTGGCTCCTTTTCTCTTGTTTCCCGTCTAGGAACGCAATGGGGTTTCCCAAGCCAGAATCGAGGAGGCGTCTTCCAGTCCTGCCTGAAGGTACCAGATAGCCTTTCTGGGAGCTTTCAAAGGTATTGCCTCTCTCTGCACCTGACACACTTCCATCTTTTGTCTTAACTACTGCAGTACCCATGCAAGCGCCTTTCCTGCCTGCCTGATTTTCACCCACTCCCCTTCTCTCTGAAACGAAGACCTGCTTGTTTCACGTCTTCGTTTAACATTTTAATCGGCTCCTAACGTTTAGAGGATATACAGGGTCCGGCAGAAGTAACGCCTGCTTGAGTGTGGTTCGTAGGGTATGTGCATGTCTTGCACAAGATGGACAGCAACTTGAACATCTCACCTAAAATGTCATGTGATGTGCTTGAGTGTGATAGTGTTATGTTACAGAATCACATGCTTATGATTTAGTAATAGAAGATTCTGTAATAAAAAAAAGGGGGGGCATTATTTGTGCCGGACCCCGTTTATCTAGTCTGTTATCTGGTTTGTCCCTGGTGACGTTTGCCGCGCTGCCACGCCCCTGTTGCCCCCTCACTGAGCGTGTCTGCTGTCTGCCCCGTATCGGGGCACCCTCTGCCTGGAACAAGCTTTCCCCAGCCCCACCTCCCCCCGATTCCTGCTCGTCCTGCAGGCTCTCCCCCCCTGGAAGGTCTCTTCTGATAAGCGTTCCTCCTGAGGTCGGGCTGGGTGGCCCTCAGCTGCCCCGTGGAATGGCTGACCCCGTCACAGCACCCTGCATGCCCGAGCCATGCTTCTGTACCAAGGCTCCGTGGAATTGTGTGCCTCCGCTGCCCAGTCACGTGATGGACGCTTCATCAACAGTTGATGAAGAAGTCAGGCAGGAAGAAAGAATTTTTAGAAGGTACCTGGCATATGTGTTGAACAGAAAGGAGCTTTGAGCATCTGGATGGTGGTGGATACGCTGAGCATCAACAACCACCACCCTCCCGCACAACCCAGGAGTACATTTAAATTCATACCTCACTCCACGAAGAGGCAACCCACTGCAGCCGGGTGTTCTTCGGGCACCGTCCCAGGACACAGCCCTCCTGCGACTCCGGCCTGGGCACGGCGGCGCACAGGCGGTCGGGGAGGCCCTCCGCGGCCGCGGCGCTCCGGCACAGGACGGTCCGTTTGCGCACGCCCCGCCCGCAGGTCTTGGAGCACTGCGGGTGAGAAAAGCGCCGCTGGCACGCTCGTTTCCACTGTCAGGTTCTCAGGCATGTTCGGTTTTAGTAGTTGAAAAAGAAAATACTCTCTCAAAATATTTCCACGTGAAATTTGGGGTAAATGCCATGAACTAAGGCTCCTTTTCATGCTAAACGTCCCACACCCCATTTCCTTTATCCGCACCCTCCATATACATTTGGCTAAAGCAGCCCCTTGAATTCTCCTTTTGTAAATTGTAACTCCTAGTTGCAAAGTAACAGACCAGACTCAACACCACATACTACTTAGATTTACTGTCTGCGATCAATGAACACGTGCCCTCATTTTAAAAGTGCACCCAAGCATGCTCAAAGACCTCCTTCCCCACTCCCAGCTCCTTACTCCTCCCACAGACATGCTCCTGACATTAAAAGAACACCTTTCATAAGGTTCTATCATTAAAAGCACAAAGCACAGCCTTGTTCTGACCTCTGTTTGGGACAGGGCAGGGCACTGTTACACTTAACCAGAAATCAGTGCCCTCCACACTATCATACGCCCTGCAGGAGAGCAGGTCCCACGCGGAGCCCAGGACTTCGCAGTTCAGGCGACAAACCCCTTGAAATTGTACTGTTCCCTAAAACTGTCCAGCCACCTGTGGTTTAGCAGAGGCTGGGCAATTCCAGAGCAGAGTGCTCGCCCTCGGCACCATTTGGACCAGATCATTCTTGTACTGGGCGGCTGTCCAGTCCACTGCAGGACGGGTATCTCACCGGCAGCACCCATCCCCCCGCCCCTGTGACAATAAAAAATGTCTCCTGACATCACCCAATGCCCCTGGGGGCAAACTGGTCCCCCCATTTGAGAACCTTTGAGTCGCAAATGACAGGTAGGTCTACGCTTCTTCCAACTTTATAACTTTGTATTTTCACTGGGAATGTGTGGCAAAAGCAACCTTTAGGCCCAACCCCTCTTTGTATTTTTTAACCCCCTCCTTTCATTGAAATAAGAGTCAAATATCCTTTCTATGCTTCATCCTCTGTATCTGTTTTATCCATTTGCTCTGGAGAGTTCCGGAGCCCGTTTTCACCTGCCAGGCCTCTGACACTCAAACGCTGCCGAGCTGTGCTACCCGTCTCGCCTAAATGGCCCCCGCGTGCTAGTTTCTGGGCTTCTTAAGGTCCCCAGGTGGCAGGTTGCATAAGAATGACTACAACTGTTCATTAAAATGCCGCATCCCATGGACTCAGCGTGGTTCTCCGGAAGGTGCAGAAACAGCTGAGAGCCTTCTGGGACGCAGAGATACCACTTGTATTTTTGTCACCTTCATTTTCCATGGGGAGCAAGACCGATGACTCCTGGTTACCTGAGACCAGGGCCCGAGGGTCCACTCTGGAGGGCAGGCATGGCTGTTACAGACTTGAACTTGGGTGGGTGTGCTCACTGGGCAGAGGGAGTGCAACACGGCCGCCTCCTTTTGGAAGGGCTTCTTCTGGACACACTGGATTTTCCGGCTTTGCTGGCCCCCCGCACATGGCCGGCTGCACACGCTCCATTCGCCTGGCTTCCAGCTGTCAGGGAAAAACAGAGCTACTTCCAGTGACGCTCGGACTTGGGTGCATACCTTCCAAAGCAGTTACTGTGAAAGATTAACCACCCGATGAAAGCCTTAGGTCAATTTTAGGACCAAGAAGGGCGATTCATACTAATTCTTTTTTAATAGATTTTGGAGCTCACACTAATGTGGTTCAGCTATAGGGAGTCACATTTAGTCACCACAAAATTCTGGGGAAAAACACATTCCTGCCCTTGCTGGGGAAGGAATATGTGCCATTTGGAAAGCCGAGCAATCCATTCATTCAGCCAAATTTCTTGGGATCCTAACTTGGTGCCAGGTACTCTCCTAGGCGTCAGGGCTGGAAAAAGGAATGAGGCAACGTTCTTTCCATTAAGGAGCCTACAACACACTGAGGAGGCAGTTATGTGAACAAATAAAGACAATACTTTCTGATAATTGCCGCTATATTAATTAATATAAACTACAATAATGAGATTCATGGAAGAGCGATCAATGAGAGAGGGGTTGTGCGCACGCGTGCGTGCAGGACAGAGGGGCATTCAGAGGGGGCCCCACAGGGGAAGAGCTAAGCAGGCCACTCCCCTGCCTGCTTTTCTGGGTAGTCTTAACATTTACTGATGGGTTTGAGATGAACCCTTGTGTTCGTTATTTAAAAATGGCCAGACCACCTTTTTCACAGCAGTCTGAGACTTGGTTTATATTTGAAGGCTAATCAACTGAAACTATTAATCCTTTTCAATGACTACTTTTGATTAATTGAGATTCGATGATTTGAAGGCCTAGCATTAAAAAGATCTATCAGACATGATCACTAATACATTTGAGTCATAGAAATGTCTGAAACTCAGCTTGTTCTACCTGATATTCTAAGTATCATTTTAAGAAATAAAATGTCACAAATATGCTCTCATTATATCTTTGCATTTCTCTCACCTTTTCCTAGTCCTATAAATTTTTTCTCTGGTTTCCCCACATGCCTGATGTGTGAAATTAAAGACCTTTAGTCTAGAGAATTTAGCACATGGATTCTAGGATCTTATGTCTTCTAAAACATTGTATAATCCATACTATCTTATTTAGTTAAAGAAAGATTGTGTCAAGTAAAATAATTCCTATGTTTATATAACTATTTGATCTTATAAGAAGACATAAAGAAAATATTATGAAATCAGTACCCTCAACATTTATCTATGAAGATGGCTTTTTGTCTACTGAGTTCAAGTTTCTTTCCTTTATATGGCAAAGGTGATGATTTTGTAAAGGTAGTTGAAAACGCATAACACAAATAGACCTTTTGCATGACAGGCACAATTCTCCACCTCTGGGCCTGAGGCCCAAGCCCCACCCAGCACCCCCACCCCCCGCCATCTACTCCTCCCTCAGAGCCCAGGCTCCTACAATGTCCATTTCTCTCTCATTAATTTTTTTATATAATTTTTTTATAACATGTCTCTTATTGCATCTCAATTACTTCTTTACACATCCATCTGTGCTATTCGGTTGTAGGTGCATTGATGGCAAGAACTGTATGTTATTCATTTCCACACCTGAGTCCTCAGCTCAGGGCTGGCTTACAGTTAAGAGCACGCATGGCGTAACTGCTACATGGGACAATAAGGGAGTTAGCTCAGGGTAATTTCTTTGTCCTTCTAGCTCCAATAGTCTGGGTCTACACTTTATTTCTAGTGTCTCCCTAGGGAAGAACAGTCCCTGAGGGTCCCACTGCTCCAACAGAAAGTAATGAGATATAAGTAAGAGGGTGATGAAGAAAGAAGGCAACGAAAGATCCTGCCCTTTCGCCACTCCAGCGTGGTAGTTGTTGTGAGCGGCTCGTCTCCTTTTAAATAACCAGTGAACCTGTTGGTGCCCAGGGCACCACTTCTACAAGAAGTCATCAGGCAAGTTCTGGGAGTTGGACAGGGCCGAGGCTCACTCCATTTTCGTGGGCGTGTATGTAAATGGGGTCTCTTTCTTTGGCTGGCTGGTGCAATGGGGGTTTCAAATAAGAAAATATCACCTTGCCATTCAAGCATACAATGCCTACATGTACGTAAACACACACGCCTACTACCTGGAGGAGAAATTACTCCACAGTAATTCTATCTGGTCATCACGCCACAGAGAAGTGTATTTATTAGAACCAGATATGTCTTAGAAAAAGGGGAAAATCCTCTAAAATCACCCCAAATTTCTTTGTCTTTTTGTTTTGCTTAGGCTATCACTGGTTCCAGATTCTAAGAGAAAAACTGGGCTGACAATTGGGCACATGGGATCGGCAGATAGCTAAAGCTCCAAACAATTATGACAAATACACTATGTATAAGAAAATATATACGTGTATGTATAAAAAGATTGTGTAATAGCATCGCTTTACCACAAAGCAAACACTACTTATTAAGGTGGCCTGAAACATTAGTGAACAAACATTGCTTTAAAAGAAACTCTGTCAATTCTATATAAATACATTTGGCAGAAGATAAATCACATGAGAAAAGCCTCCATTTGGCTGGGAAGATTACTTAAAATTATTGTTCAAACAATAGTGTGGCTAAAACCCATCCAAAAACAAACCCACGCAGCTCCCCATTGGTTACCACCGTCGGAGTAGAGCACCGCTTGGCCTCTTACCCCTTTCTTTTTATTTTGTGTCTTGCTACTGTGTAATTTGTGTTTGGGGTTTCATGGTCTGCATAGTATTATGATTTTTAAATTCTTAGACAACTATATAAAAGTTAAGCACACGACCACATGTAAATTTAACTAATATAGGAATCCGTGTTATTGAAATATCTATTTGATTTAGTGCAGAGAGGAGTTGCTATGTAAAGATTAAAAAATAAAAAACACCTTTATATCCCAAGGTTAGGTTTGCATAGCCAGAGTTAAATGAACGTCTAAAGCAAATCTGTGTTTTTCAAGTTATATACTTTAACCTCAACTACGTTCTTTCTTCTGTTACTTTTTTAGACATTCTGTCTATCTTAACATCACTTTTGACCAGAAGCATTGACATACGGGCTTTAATGATCTCATACCAACAATAAAGGCATATAAAGTACAAATATAACCAGAAATACATTTCCAGATGACTTACTAGGCAGGGCAGGAGAAAGCATTGCATACTTTGGGTTCAGTTGCTGGCTTGGTTCTTGCATTGCAGAATGAGGAATTGACTTGAGTATTTTGATCTCGTAAGCAAATGGCCTTTACACTTATGTAACCTAATAAGACATCAAAAGTTACAAACTAAAAATTACAGATAACCAATTCAATTTAGTTTGCAAATTTACCTTCTGATTTACCAGGGTTCTGGTATTTTATTTATGATAGGGAACCTAATTATTGTGTGAGAAGGCCTTTTGATAAAATCTGCAACTAATTTGATCCTATCCCCCCCAAGATAATAGTTTTCATATCTTAATAATTTTAACATGTAGCATCTTCCTTTTCAAGATTGCTGTGGTTCTAGGACTACAACACATACATAAAACCTTTTGAAAAGAAGGCAGTTGAAAGGGAAACATTCCACCAACTTTAACTCACATTGTACACATCCAGTAGAAAATATTCTTCAAAGAAAAACCATCAGTGAATTATGGAAACTGAGATTCCGCTTTTCCACGAAGCATGTTCTACTTCCTTAGGAGTATGATGCATGTATAAACAAAAAGTGGCGCTCACTGAATGTGTGTGTATTCATACCAGTCAGCTAGGACTCTGGTTTTCTGTCTGTTCTAGTGGCATCGTAGGCCTTGCTGGCAATGTTCACTTCAGTATTTGTCATCAGAAACATGAATTTTGTGAATACCTGTCACCTCCCCAAATAGGAATTCTGCCTCCTCTTTGAACTATTTATATTTACACGGTGCTTTTCCTTAAAATCAATTTGAGAAGCAATGAAAAGTCACTGGGCTACTACGATTAGGCGGAAGTGGATTAGCCTGCAGGAGGCACCTTAACAAGACCACATTGGGATTCCCTAATGTTAATTAAGAGTTTACTTCCTGAGGACTTATTCACTTTCATGCTTCTTCTCACATGCCTGGGACACAACAGGACCTGTGGGTTGCTAAATCAAGGCAAGAGGAAATCCCACAGTGCACCTCTCCAGCATCCTTCCTCTTAACTGGAGTCATTCCCTGTAAGTGGAAAATGAACCAAATCTCTCTCCTTTCCAAGGATCTGTGCTTTCTCTGCAATACCAGGAAGTGATAGCAAAGATCTTAAAGAATACTTGATATGTGAAAAACAGCTCATACTCCAAAACTAAGTAAAAAATGTGGAAAGATATGTCTATAGCAACAATTTTCAACCAGTGTGCTGCAAAAACTTTTTAGAACATGCAATATTAGACTATCTAGTCAGGGCTACTGACCTCTTTTCCCTTAGACTGTCAAATAAAAAGATAGCCAACACAACAACAGCTGTCTGGTGTGAATGAATCAAAATCATTCCTATGTTTTTGTCAGAATGGCAAAAAATGTATTTTTTGGTGTGCCACCGAATTTTAGTAATTAGTTTACGTGTGTCAGGAGAAGGCAAAGGTTGAAAATCACTGGTCTATGGCATGGTTCCTATTCTGTAAAAATAACAAACAAAACGATGCCTATGGCACGTGTCCGAGGAGGTCAAACACACATGTTTTACGTTTGCATAATAAAAAGAATAGAATGATATAGACCAAAGTATGTAACATTGACTGTTGATGATTAAGGGGTTATGGGAGATTCTTCTTCTTTTAGCATATTGCCTTTAAAATTTTTATTATTAAAATCATGTTAAAATTATTTAATATTTCTTAAAAAGAAGTATTTCTTCATATTTTGTTAATTACCATGAATGCCTGAAGAACAGGCCTTACAGACGTAAGAATTTCTTCACTTTCTATATCCCTGCTCTGTCTCTGGTTCTGAGATGCCCCGCTCTGCAAGTGGGATGGAGGGAGTTAGGAGACCCATTGTCACCAGGCGCTCTGGACATGAGGGAATGAGTGACCCCACCTTCATGCTTCGCTTTCCCGGGCCTCTTTATGCACTCTCGTTCCTTTTCCCAAGTGTGACAAAAACTGACTAACAAGCAAATACGTGGTGTTTTTGGATTTCGATTAAATGCCAGCCTCTGCTTGCTGAGAGGATAGCTGTTGCTTCTTTCCTTACAAGGGCTATTTCTCGGACTAAACCCGTTTCCCTTCTGAAGACTGCTGACCTCACCCCAGAGGGGGCGGAAGGACGCTGTACCCACATTTGAGGGCCGTCTGATGTCTGCCTTGCCTGTGTTCTCCCTTGTCACGACCCTGCCTCCTGCAAGTCCCAGTGGGCGGTTTACAACAGCAGAAAAGTCGTGATAGGGAGAAACTAAACTGTGGGCTGAAAAATTTTTAAAATATACAAATAAATATGTAGATATTCTTATACTTATAAATAAATAGACTTTACACAGGGCTCTGGTGGAAGTAATGCCCCTTTATTACCAAATCTTTTATTACTAAATCATAAGCATGTAATTCTGCAACATAACAGTATCACACTCAAGCACACCCTATGACATTTTAGGTGAAATGGTTAAATTAAAACTATAAATTATTATACCCATATTATTACCCTACCAACCACACTCAAGCAGGCCGTCCTTCTGCCAGAATATTGCCCCCAGAAGGTTCTGCTGTATAACTTTTGAGCGCTGGTTGTGGCTGACTTGAGTTCTGTGAGAATCGTTTCCTTTCTATGTAGGAAAATCCTTAAGCAGTACAGTAACATTTTGCTTTTTAGAGTGATGGTTCCCCTAAAAGACAGTTCTTTTGCTGCTTGTTCAAACCATACAATTTAAAGAGGCCTGAAGTGAGAGAACCTGCTTTAAGAAGAGACTTGGAGGTTGGAATAAAGAAATGAGCTCACCACCGCCACAGGAGACGGAGCAGTCGGACCGCATGGTGCTCCAGGCGTGGCTATGTCTCTTCGGGGCTGGCTGAGTCCCATTCACGGCCTTGGGCAGGGTGTACTTCCAGGCTATCCCTGGGTTTTTGCCTTGCATCAGAACCTGCACAGCGCAAGACACAAATCAGAGATCAAGGTACAGGTCAGACCCTGGAATTCCAGAGAGCTCACTGAACATTTTAAAGACATTTGTATGACATTTTGACCTTCAGGTTGGTTCACACCATTGTTCCCAAGCATGTTGACCTAAAGTTTTCCCATGATACTTGAAAATGTATACTGCCATATCATCAAGACTGTGATTACAATAAATGCTACACAGGGAAACATGACTTGACATTTGCCAGAAGCCCACAACCCTCAATGCTAGGTATAGTTTTAATAAAAAATAATTGCATGAATAAGCCAAAAAATTTTGTTATATTATACTGAAAGAAAGAAGGTTACAATATGAGGTCTTAACAAAAGAGAATGTGTCCGTTAACTGTGTACCAGGATGAGCCACAGATTAAGACAAAAAGAAATATGATCGGAAGTAGGGGTTGGTTACATATATATGTCTTAAAAAGGCAAGGACTTAGGATAACTCTGATCCTATAAAATTTGGCTACTAAAAGAAGAACAATCATTTACTGGCACATTCTAGGCACCAGGCATCCTGAAGAATTTTTTCTATGCATTATCTCAAAACATTTCTCACACTACTTTATAATGTAGCTGCCTATATTTTCATGGGTGGGGGGAAACCTGAGAAGACCTTGTACAAGATCACACAGGTGACTAGTGAATGACCTTAAAACAGAACAACTTAGGACCTCCAGCAAACTGTGTGTTACTACTGCAATACATCTCCTTGGTTTTGGTGTGGAAAAACATTATTTGTCTCCCTTCCCGATTCTCTCTTTTCTTAACTACTCCTCTCTTCTCTTCTTTCAAGCTCAATGCATGAATATAAATAGCCGCTTGTCTCGGCCCCAGAGTTGTATGGAAAATTCTTTACCACCAGAACTGGGCGTTCATGCTCAAGAAGCAAAGCAGATTTCCAGTTAAAAATAGAAGCCTCTGGCTCTATATCTGTCTGGTGGGATCCACCTCGATTAAAATTGGGTGAGTGGCGGCTGTCCAAGGACCTCTGTTATACCAGAGCACCCACTCCTGAAGATGCTACAAAATGGTTTCCACTTCGCTGTCAGCTTAAATGTATCCAGGAATACAACGGCTTACTTGAAAGACCCCATGGTGTAGACATCATTTGTTGCACAACAAATTTTGGTGCCTCCCAGGAACAACAAAAACGTCAATAGATGGGTCTTTGTTTCCCTACTCATATTCAACACAAAAAATAAAAAACCAAAACCAAAACAGGTAGTGCCATTAAAATAGACAAATGACAAACGCTCACCAACAAAAACCTTCTTAAAGTCACGGTCCTAGGGGTTGTTTCGTTCTGAGGATCTATTCAGTGTTTGCTTTTCTTATTTTTGCAGCTAAATCATACAGCTGTTCTTAGAACCATGTGTTTAATTATGCTATAACATTTCATCCATTTTGACTAAATAGTATTCTTGAGATTTTTGCAGTGTTTCTGTAAATGTCTTTGTGTGCTATTAAGTAATCAGACACTTTAGAGTTTTTTCCTAAGATCAAACTAGAATTTTGAGGGAAGTTTTACATTCAGCAGATAATCTTGATGCTCACTGGTTTCTCAATTCAATTTCTTCTTCAATTAAAGCAGTATCTCAAATGCAACACTTTGGGTTGCTATTTTCTTTATGCGATAGGAATGCAGAGATCTTGTAAAGAAGACACCGCTGTGCACACCCATACCTGTAGTTAAACACGAATGAACGGCAAAGAGTTGTGGTGAGCCAAGGCGGGTGAGGCAGGGTGATATTACAATACAGAGGCGTTCCGTCACACAGGCACGTGTAAGGAAGGCTTACCCAAGTGCAAGTGTGATTAGGAAATCCACTCACTTCCTAGGAAATCCATCTCCTCTTCCTAGGCCACCCATTTTCCCCATTCAACCCAGATCCTGACATCTACTGCCATAGGGGAAAGTGATCCCTAATGGAGATGCAAAGAAAATTAAACATTAGTTCTTGCTTTGGGGATTTTAAGGACTTATATTCTGGTGATTTAACAGTGGTTTAATACATCTTCAAAGGGCATTTAAAATATATTCTACTTTCATCTTTTAGACAGATTGTAGAACTTAAGCCATACATGGCATGTGGTTTCACTGTAAAACATTTTTAAATGTTGCTGTGAACAGCAGGATGCGTTTAAGAAAAATAATTGGACTGTGAAGATCAAAGTGTCATCACTATTGAACAAACAAAACCAACAAGATGTCAAGTTTCCCCAGGTATCCAGTAAAGCCAACCATAAGAAATTATCACAATTATCTCACTACTAACAAGAGAACTTAGACATTCTCCCCCTGCCAAACCTGTGTCTGCACCAACGCCCTGTCCTGACCCCGGGGTCAGTCCAGGTTGTCCCCACACTGCGGGCTCCCTCTTCCCTCACCTGCTGGAGGACGTCACTAGTACAGTTGCCCCTCTTCCTTGAGCCTTACTTAAATTTCCCTATCAATTGGATCATTCCCGTCATGTATCCAAATATGCTATTATATTTCTCATCTTAAGAAACAAATTATCTCCATCTATCCCTCCAGCTCTTGTTCCATTTTTTTCCTTTCATTGGAAAAATTCCTCCAAGAGTTGCCTTTACTATCTGTCTCCATATCTTTCCTCATTGGCCCATGATGCTTCTCTGTCAGATGCCCCTCCACACCACATTGCTGAAACCGCTCCCTCAAGAACTCCTGCTGATGTCCAATAGTTGATAGGCCTCGTCTTACTCAACCAATCACCAGCATTGGACATAGTCCATTGCTTCCTCCTATTTTTTTTTTTTTTTTTTTTGCCACCAGAAGCCCATTTTCTCAGTTCTTTCCCTGACTCACTGACCTTCATTTCTAGTCTCATTTTGCTAAATCCCTCTTATCTCCTAGCTATTAAATATCAAAGTGATCTCCAACCCCTTGACTGCTTCTTATTGACTCACCTCTCTAGGTGATTGCGCCTAGTCCTGTGGTTTCAAATACAATCTACATGTTGACCACTCCCAAATCCATAACACTGTACCAGCGCTTTCCAATAGAACTTTCTGCATGATGATAATATACTATAATCCTGCGTTGCTCCACATGGTAGCCACAAGCCACATGTGGTTATTGAGCGCTAGTATACTAGTGTGATTGGAGAACAAAACTTTACATTTTAATTCCTTAAAATGGAAACTTAACCATGTGTGGATAGTGGCTACCATACTGAACAATGCAGCTAGAGATGAAACCTGTTTTCTGACTTCCATATTCACATAGTCAACTGCCGACTTGGCATCTATACTTGAATGTTTGAGCGGTGTATCAGTGTCCTGCACTGAACTCTTGATTTCCTTCCCAGTCTCTTAAAATGGCAACCCAATCCCTCTCGTTGTTCAGGTCAAAATTAAAAGTCAGAGCCACCTAGATCGCCTCTCATTTTCTCATACTCCACAGCCAATTGATCAGGAAATGGTGTTCTCTTTCTTTCTAACATATCTCACATTAGGCCACATGTCCCTTTGCTTGTGGTGGTGACGGCGGCCCTGGTCTGAGCCCCCATCACCCCTTCTGACGTCCGTGGTCATGGTACCCTCTGCACGAGGTGAGGCCTGCTCTCCAGTGGGGGCAGCGAGGCTGGTCTGCACCACAACACCACAGTGACAGCGACTTAAGAGGTTAAAGAGAAAATACCATAAACCTGCAAAGAAAAATCAAATGCTGCTGTGATACTGGGGGAGGGACCACATGCCTGAAGAAGGTTGGGGGCTGTCATTTAATTTTGGTGAATGATTTCAGCAAAAAAGCCACAAAACAACAAAAGAGAATTTAAATCTTCTTCGAGAATTTCTATTTCCCTCAAAAGGACAAATTTTTACATTGCAATTCCCATATGCCTTCCCTCATCGCTTAAAGATCCCCTGAAAAATAAAATTAGTGAGCAAAAATTAACAACAGTAGCAAACAATATTTAATAGCAAGAAGGCAACTAATCCATTTTGTGTTATCAAGGTAATAATGAGTTTACACGCCCAGCCAAAGCAAGAAGAGAAATAACTTACACAACTTACTGTACTTGTTCACAGGATTATGCAACTTTAAATTACCACCTCGTAAAACACACAGAGCTGGATATCATTGTATTACTGGTATAGTTTTATAGCCAATGGCATAACGGGTACATTGTTTATAGTCTGTTTGCTGAACACATTAATGCGTTGAATGAATGTGTAAATGAATAAAAGTCTCTCAACTTTAAAAAAACCCAGTGACAGGGCCTGACTGTCATGTTTGCGCCGCTGTAGATTCACAGCCAGGGTTGGATGCGGGGTCGCGGGCGCTAAAAGACAAGATTTGTACGAACTAGCAGAAGGCTGACTTACGGATTTATTTTAGCAAGCCCTCCTAAAAGCCTTTTAAAGATATAATTATTTAAACAAATAGATGCCAAGGCCCAATATATAAAAGATGAACACTTGCCAATTGTACCAGTGTTTGCTTCTTGATGATAATTAAGGTATATATCTCTGGCTTTTTCTTTACCTCGTATTGAGAAAAGTGACAAGAACAGAATACACAGCAGTAATCTTACCTCTTACTTTTTCCTAATTTTACTATTTCCTTTGGAAATAGACTGTCCATCCGGCTAATAGAATAGAGATTCTCAAAAGGACTGGACTTCAACAAAAAAATCAGTCCTACAGTCAGGAGTGGCTACATAATTTCTGGGCCCGGGGCAAAAATGAAAATGCAAGGCTCTTGTTTAAAAAAAATTATGAAGAATTTGAAGTTGGCGGCTCTTGCTGGGTTGTTCAGTTGGTTAGAGTGCTGTCCCAATACACCAAGGTTGCAGGTTTGGTCTCCAGTCAGGGCACATACAAGAGTCACCCAGTGCATGCGTAATAAATGAGTTGAACAACAAACTGATGTTTTTTTCTCTCTCTAAAATCAATAAATAAAAATCAAAGGAAAAAAGAATTTCAAGTTGATGA